GTGTGCGTTTATGTACTGGTGCCTGAGGAGGCCAGAAGAGGGTGTTGGACCCTCCAGAGCCAGAGTTACAGGTGGTTGTGAGCCATGTATACTGGGAACCAAACTCCAGTCCTTTGCAAGAGCAACAAGCACTCTTAACCACTGGGCCATCTCTTTAGCCCCGTGAATAATTTTAAAATTGGAGTTGCCACTGACCGGGGCTTCCTGTGCACCAGGAACTGCCTTCATGACGGTGGTTCCTCCTTAGGCCATTTTCTGGCGAAATCACATTCCGGGGCAAGGTTTGACCCTGCAGCGGTCCCCTCCCTTTGCTTCGGCCAGAGCCACACGGCTGGCTTTCACTTCCAACGGTGCCCTTGGGTAGGTACATTAAGAGGCAGAAACTGGAAGGTGAGGGGCTTTGAACTTTGGGTGTTTCTGCACGATGGGGTGGGTCCAGGCCAGCTGACTCACAGCATCCCCTCCCATTAAGGCTGGCACTGGACCCACCCACCCCAACACCTGGAGGTGTGCCAGAGGGCCGGCCTAGGCCACCTGCAGCCTGTCTGCTGCCAGCAACAGCCTCTAGCCCAGTGCCCCCTGCTGGCCAGCGTCCCCACACCCTCCTAAGCCCTCCCTTCTCCCCCCCCGCCCCCCCGAGTTTCTGGAGGTGCTGCAGTTTGCCTCGTGCTGGAGCGAGGGTGCCCCCAGCTGCAACACCTCCCCCTACTCCCTGCTGGACACCCCCCTTTGGCAGAGCCGCCTGGAGAGATCACAGGCAGCCACATGAAAGGGAATTTTCCCAGGCAGAGATGGAGTTGAAAGCTACCTCCCCCGCCCCTGCCCACCCCTGCTGTGCCAGGCCAGGCTGCAGAGCCCCTGGTGCTCCAAGGGAGCCCTTGACACAGGGGAAGGGCTGGGGGTCAGGATACCTCCTCCCTGCCTTCCCCTTCCAGGAACAATAGCAGGGCCAGCCCATCACCTCACCACCCACTCAGCTTCAGAAGGCCCCACCTTCCTTTGTTCTCCAAGTCCTCACCCACCTGAAACCTTGTCAGGAAGTCCTTCTACAAGTCTAGCTTCCATCTCTGCCAGGCTCAGAGCAGCTGAGGAGAGGGGAGGGGGGAGGAAAGAACACTCCTCCAGTGGTAGGCTAGGCAACATCCTTCAGGTTGGCCTCCAGGATGTGTGAAGAGTGGCATGCATGCAAAGGGCCATCTTTCTGTTAAGGTTGCCCTGGCCTAGATGATGGGGCCTTGCAATAATTTCCCCAGACACCAGTTGTTCTGAGGCTCTAGACCAGCTGGAGGTCGGAGCAGGCGATGCACTTCTTGAACTCAGGCTGGAATGGAAGGGGGTCCCAGGACAGGGCTTACAGAGGGCACAGTCACGTTCGTTCCAGAAACCCGGGAGAAAACTAGTCCCAGAGGAATTGTGTGGGTGGCTGGGGGAGTGTGAGATGGCCGCCATGCAAAAAGACCCAGAGAGACAGCCCACCCCAATACCACAGGACGCCTGGCACTGGTCAGGCCTGAAGAGCCGGGGGAGCAGTATGATCCGAGGTAGATGACACTCCTAGTGGTCTAGGTTCCAAAGCCTGGGATACACCAGGTTCTCCATATAAACATGGTTCCATGCTGTGTCCGGGATGGCCGTTTCTGCCCTCACCCTACCCCGGGAGTCCAAAAGGCTTCTCCTTTCCAAGAAGACTCTCAACTCTAGCTACCCTCAGGGTACCCTTCTCTCCAAACAGTCCCACACAACCCTCAGCCCAGCCACAGCCCCAAGCCAGCCCTCCAAAACCCAAGAGAAGAAGTCAGCAGTGTATCATGACACAAACATGCATTCAGTTTTATTCACAAAACAGCCTGGTCTCCTAAAACAATACAAACAGCATGTTTCCTCAGCAGGGAGCTGGCCACGGGCAGGGAGCCCCCCTGGGCACCCACCCCTACCAGTAGGTAGGGGACCACGCAGAGAAGCCCTTCCTTCTGTTGCTCTGAGCAAGGCTGAAAAAGAGGGCTTATTTTCTCTAGGGGAAGTAGCCAGGATTGAGATGCGGGCTCCCCGGATCTCAGCGGATCAGCGAATGGAATTTTCATCTCCAAAATCCGTCACTTGTTGGGGTGGGGGATCCCAGCCAGGGGGTGGCGGGTGCAACTTGGCCGGGCCTGGGCCAGGGACTCCCAGTCCCAGTGGGCTCTGGCTGTAGCTCTGCACGTGTGGATGGATACAGAGGGGCTTCTACACGGTGCCATCAACATTCTCTTTATAAACGTGAGTGGATTCTCCAGGCAAACTATGCACTATTTCATGGTTGGAAAGAATCAAAGGAAGTTTAAGGTGAGAGTGGAGTTAAAACTGTGCTAAATTACAGTAGTGCTTATTAGTAACTAGATTGCAAAAGGTTACAGAAAATTTACATTCTCTACACAAAAACGGCATCTCCCGCACAGACAACATCGACATTGACACAGGAAGGAGACTGATTGTCCATTCTTTGCCCAGGAACTCTCGGTACTTTATAGATTCGTCTTTACCTCTTGTGTTGTTCTTCTCCTGAAAAAGCAGTTAAATTTTTTTTTTCTTTTTCTTTTTATACTAGGGACGTGGAGATGTTAAAATGACAACAAAAAATATATATATATAAAAACAGGAATGAGATCTGTGAGAGAATATTTTTGGTTCTAAAGACGGGTGTATCCGTTTGTCTTCGCCCGAATCCCTTGCCGGAGACCACGCGAGCAGTGACATTGCACGGAGAGGGCAGCTTTGGGTTCCCGGCCGTCACTGAAACCACCGGAAGGCGGCTCCCGTCGGAAGCATCACCTTCTGGCGGGGCGGGAGACAAAAACAAGGAGAAAGTTCAGTCAGGGTCCCGGTGGACCTGGTGCAAGAAGCTCCCCGTGGCCGGCTCAGTGGCGGAGGGACGGGCACGGAGAACGAACGGGCAGCTACCCCGAAGAGTTCCTGTTATCCTGGCCAGGATAGGCCGGCCAAAGAAGGAGCCACGACCCGTGCTGGGCTACCCAAGGGCCCGGAGCACCCAGAGGCCTCCTGAGCCACTGCACTCAGGAGCCTTCCTTCCGGACCCTTTCCCTTGGCCCAGAGCACCAGGTGGCCACAGTGCATGGGGCCACGGCTGCGTTCTGTCCAGTGAGTGTGAGCACTGCTGTGTGCCTGCACTGGGCTAGACTGGATGGAACTGTGGCGGGGAGGCTGACAGGTATCTGGCGTTCAGTAAGCAGACGAGGATGCCTAGGGTGAGGGGCAGGCGTACACGTGGGTGCCCACACCGGAGTGGGTAGGTAAGCAAGACACGCGAGGGGTGGTGGTCAGAAAGGTGGCACAAGGCCGTGGCGAGGACACCACCAATGTTTCCCAACCGTTATGGAATCAAGCCTACTTCCAAGAGGGGTGGGCACTAGTGGCAGGGATAGCAAACTGCAAAGCCGCTTCTGAACCCAGCTAGTTTACCACATCTGGGGACAGGGACAGGCTCGGCTACGTGGGGACAGAGAGCCCTGCAGTCATGCCAGCCTCAGAGTTATCAACGAGCCGGGCTGCCCCTCCCCACCTCCAGGCAGGGCAGCCAGCACAGCAACCGCTCTATTTTGGGTTGCCTGGCGTATGTGTGGAGGGTAGGGGGTGGGGAACACACGACTCTGGGGGACAAGTTGTGGGGCTCACTCTAGGCCACAGGGTCCACAGACAGAACCTTTCAGATGGGGCTAGGGACACAATGAGAGTCTTAGGTTACCGCTTTCGGACATGTCTACCAGACAGAAACTTGGTACCTAGGTGGAAATACCTGACCCAGGCCCTAGGAGGGGCATCAGAGTCCCAGGGCCTGCCTCACTGGAATGCCAGGCCCCTACCTGCAAACCATGGCTTGCTGGCATCTCAGGATGTGGCTGACTTTTAGGGCAGTGAACAGGTACCTTGCAGCCAGACCTCCAGGCCCTAGGACTGGCTGGGTATCCCCCACACTTGGCAGGCAGGAAAGGTGGGCTCCAGGACTCGGGGGTAGGTTTGGACTGCCAGACAAATGGGAGAGCCCGCACACCTCCCTCTACGGTGCTGTTACCTCCAGAGCAGCGGAAGGCTTCTTTTTGAGTTCCTCACACTTTCTGAATTTGCAAATCTGATGGCCAGTCTTTCGGTTCCTACAACTGCTGCACTGCTCGCAGTTGATGCGCCGTCGGCAGGGCGCACACATGCCGCAGCGTTTCCGCTTCTTCTTGCCTGAGCTGATGGCGGATGCCAGCTCTCCCTGCATGGGGTACTCGGCCAGGCCGGCCATGTGCAGCGCGCTCTCAGCCAGGAACACACCGGCTGGGGTCATGATGAAGAGGCCCGGATTGATGGGGAAGGCGCCCAGGTAGGGGAAGTCGGACTGGCCATTGAGGGCTTCGGCGCCGGCCACCGCCTCCATGTCAGGCAGGCCGGCACCCGCCTCGCTCATCAGCGGCAGGTGTTCCTGCACCACCCGCTTTAGCATCTCCGTGGACTGTGCGAACTGCTGCAGCGTCAGCTGTCCCTCAGCCGCCAGCTCTGTGGCCCGCTCCGCCTTGCTCAGCAGGCTGGCCACAGCACCACTTTTGTGCTTTGAGGTAGGGTTGCTCTTGTCCACTGCCATGGCCGCAGCCAGGTCATGACCATTGGCCAACAGGGAGGCTGCGGCTGCGGCTGCGGCTGCAGCCTTGTCAGCCGACTCCCCACCTAGCATACTTCCACTGCCGCCACTGCTACCAAAGGAAGAGTAGTGGGAGAGTGGGCGGGACCGGCGCAGGCTCTTGTTGAGGGGTTCGCTGATGATGCCACTCTTGTTCCGGCGCTCAGGGGGTGGGGCATCATCGGCCACTGAGGCTGGTGCAGCGGCCGTGGCCACTGTGGTACTTTTGTCTGTTCCTCCTGCCTTTGGGCCACTGCCACTGCTGCTATTGCTGCTGCTGCTGCTGCCGCTGCCGCTGCCACCCGGCGTCCTGGGAGCCACCACCCCGCCGAGGCTCGACATGATGGGGCCGAGGCCCAGACCCCACTGCTGGGAGAGCCTGCAAACTGCTGGGGCCTCACAGATGAGCGTGGAGCCCCTGCTGCCCACAATAGAGATGCCTGGTGGGCCTCAAGTCAGGGCAGGCGCATGGTCAGGTGTCCACGTGGAAACGTCTTTACTCTGTTGGGAAAGGTGGGGACAAGGTCAGTAAACCCTCCTCCTTCAGTACCACCACCCGTATTGCCATGGTAACAACCAGAAGCCTGATAAGGCATTAAGTGCCAAGCCTATCTTGGTGAAGGATTTATTTGGACCATCTCACTTAAGATTCAGCAGAACCTTAGGAAGTGGTAGGTGGTAATCCTCTATTTCACAGCCAGGGAGAACAAGGCTTATGAGAGTGACTAGCTCACGGACACAGATCTGCCCTGTGATGATCTAGAAGACCTACCAGTGAAGGGAAGTGTCCTTGGTGGGGTAGGAGATCTGGAGAGGCTAACTAACTCTGGAGGATTAATGACCTCCACTTTCTCTGGTCCCCACCAAAGAGAGGAGTGAAGATATAGACCACAACACCCTAACAGCTGCCCCTGGATACTCGTTTGGAGGTCGCAGGCAAAGGATTCAGGATGCTCTGTTGAATCCAAAGTCTGATGGGGTGCAGCACCCTCGTTTTAAGGACCGTCTACCCTTCTACAAAGGAAAGGGGGACCACAGGGCCCGAGGTGCCCCTCCTGCAAGAGTGGGGAGACATGCAGTATATTCCACACACTTCCTCCTCTCCTCCGAAACCACAGTCATCATCCCAGCCCGGCTCTGGTGTGGGTCTCTGCTGTGCCCTGGTCTGGCTTCCAAGCGGAGGGAGGGCACAGGTCTGACAAGGGGTGCAGAGAAGAGATCCCAGTGAAGACCCAGAGGGCTGGGATGGAGTCGGTGGAGGCAAGCAAGACCCGTCTCCCAGCCACCTCCACAGTTCTGAGGCCCAGGGCCTTTCCCCGGGCATGTGAGTGGCCAGCCCCCTTGTCACAGGTCCAGATGGAGCGGGGTGGCGGTTTCCTCATCAGGCTTGGCTCTCTAGCATCCCATCCCTGTAGGCCTGCTTCAGTCTCGCAGCCCCAAGTAGGAGTGAGAGCACAAGGCCCAACCCCCGAGCAGCTGGTGGCTCAGGGGCAGCTGAACATCTGGCGAACCCCACCCTGCCCTGGGCTTCAGCGTTGGGAACACATCAGATTGCTGTCCCCGGACAACCCCATCACACCCACCAGGCTGCCCTGGATACTCGGCCTGTACCAGGTCATGGAGTCCAACCCTCTGCACTTACAGAGGGGTAAACCTGTAACCTATAGGCCCTCTGCTCCAGGACTGCCCACAAGCAAGTAACCACAAGGAGCGGTCAGTGTACCCAACTGAAATGCTCCAGGAGAGGCAACCTGAAGCCACACTCCATAAGCAGTTCTTCCACAGTTCTTCACGGATCCGAGTCCACCCAGGGCACCTAGCTGAGGAAGATTCAAGCATGTTGGAACCCACTTGGATAATCCTAGGAAGGCCTGGTCAGAGGTCAGGCCCGTAAGAGGAAGAGGACCATCTACCTGAGGATTTTGTGGTATCTCACCTCACCTCCAAGGGGCCAGCCTAGATCACCTTTCCAGACCTTCTTCCTTAGAGACCAGTGATCCCTCTTTGGCACTAGTGACCCTGAGTGTGCAGGGTGGGGGGGTGGGGGGTGTGGGGGTGGGGGTGGGGATGTGTGTGTGCTGACAGACAAGAGTCAGAAGGCACCAAGTCACCTCTTCTAGCTCTTGAGTTCAACTTCCTCGCCTGGGGCCCCAACCCAGCAGCAGCCCCCAACTACAGAGACAGGGAAGAAGGAAGAGGTCTACGGGCTGGAGCGATAGGAGCAAAAGCCCATGCGTCCCCCACCTCTAAGGCCTGCTGGCTGGTGGCAGAAATCGATAGCCGCATTAAGGCTGCTCTTGCTTGCTCAAGCCCTCCCTCCCTCCACCGGCTCCAGGAGCTGCGTGCATGGCGCTGCGTGCAGGGCCGGCAGGTCAATTAGAAGTCAGCTCCCTTCCACACAGCAAGCAGCAGCATGGTTCAGGGCCGGTGCTTCCTTGCTCAGGCAGAGCTCCTGCTTTGTCCCCAGCCCCCAGCCTTTACATGTTGGGAACAGGCCTTGCGTTCTCTTCATCTCTGGTCCCCTCCGAGAATTTTTCTCATCTCTCACTTCGGCTCTCTCTCAGGGACCACCTGCTCTCACAGTCCCTCAGGTCCTAAGGCGCACTGAGCTTGGGACAGAGAACGTGATATGTCACCGAACAGGTGCCGCAGGCGGAACACAGTGGCTTGTCAGCCCTGGCAACTGCAGGTGGGGGAGGAACACACGGGGAACTGGCCACAGGGGCAACAGTCCTCAAACTCAGACAGCAGATATGCAAAACTGGTCTTCATGGCCTAGTCCCCGGGGCTTCTTCTAAACCTGCCTTTGTGGCTGTGTCACCCCCTTCAGACCCAGGGAAAGGCTGATGCCCTCCCTGGTCCCTAAGGACCTCCTGACCACAGGCCCCACCTAACCTGCTCACAGGAGGAGAGAACAGAGAGGTGACATTTTCCCTAGCCCCCCCCCCCACACCTTTTACAGCAGGGCACACAGCAACCCCTCCCAGGCCAGGATGGGCCTGGCAATACCCAGCAGCAGGGGAAGAGCTGGGGCTGCGTTGAAGCGGAGCGGGAATGAGCGGGAGGGAAAGCTGGCGGGCAGGCAGGCGGCAGCGGCGGGCGCATCCATCATCCGCCCTGCCAGGAACGCATCCAGCCCCCAAAAAGAAATACTGCGTCTGAGGAGGGACAACAAAGGGCTCCGTTTCATCAGCAATGCGGAGCCAGCGCCCCGCCGCCCTGCCAGCCGCGGTCAGCCCACAAAGGACCCCTTTGTCCAGGCAGGAGCCCGGCGGCCTGGAGCTGGGACCAGGGGCTGACGGGTGGGGACAGAGCCTAGGGGGTGAATGAACTAGTCCCCAAGAGCTGGGGGCTGAGGGGGAGACAGGTGGTTAAGGGCAGAGAATGTTGACAGCAGAACTCAGGAATGGGTCAGAGACAAGACCTGGCGGGATGAAGTGGTCCTGGTCAGAGACGGAACGAAGGAGCCAAGCTGGACACATCCACAGAGGGAGGAGCTGAAGAGTGAGAACCAGGGCCACCTGATGAGACTAGGTCTAACCTAAGGTCAGGGAGAACAGATGGGAGGAGGGTTGGGGATAGAGTTCTTGCCCCAAGGACTGAGGACCCAGATCCTGGCCATCATAGCCCACGGAGGTTGAGACCGTGGCTGTTGGAAAGAGGGGAAAAGCCAGAGATGTGACCACTTGCTAGCAGTGGGGGCTACTCCCCACTTCTACCCTCTGAAGGCACGGACCTTGTTCTCTTCCAACCAGCACCCCGACTAACGTCTAAGAACCTCTTGCTTGCTGCTCACATTAACTAAGCACCTACTGCGCTGTGGTGTTTGTATGCTTCATATGTTAATAAGATAGTAACCAAGAGACAGGAACTTTTAACCCGTTTCAGAGATGAAGAGAACAAGGTTCACCAAAGTTCAAGCTGTAAGCCTTATGTCAACAGCTAGTGCCTAGCAGTGGTGGAACTTGAACCCAGAGCTCTGTGGCCAAGACCGCCTTTGCTCTACCTGGGCAATTAACAGGACAGCCCAAGGCAAAGTGGCCCAGTTATCCTACTGCCCTCCCACCAAATTGTTACCGTGCCTATCACCTCTCTGTGGTCAGGGGTGAGCTGTCACAGGCCCCCAGGGGGAGTGCCCCACCTGGAGGCTCAAGAGATACACATGCAGGAACTCAGAATGCTAGGCCAGTGACATCATAATGCCAGCTGCCAATGAGGTCACCGGAGGTGGTGGCCTCACCCCACCCTCCCTCCGCCCCAGAAGAGCCTGACTGCATGGGGGAGGAGTTTACATCTTGGGAGGGGTTGATGCTCTGTGTTCCTAGGAGGGCTGCGGCTAGATATTCTCAATGCTTGCTGGCACTCCCCCCCCCGCCTTTCCTACTTATCCCAATAGCGCGGCCCAGTGCCCTGTGCTACCGTGGAGGGAGGGGCAAGGAGGACCCAGACACTGACCCTTCCTACACCACGAGAGCCAAGGTGGTGGCTAAAGAATTCAGTATGAACAGTGACCTGGAAGGAGACTGGGTAACCTAAAGGGCTGTGGGGAGGAACAGACTGCCGCCTAAAGAGCTAAGCACAGAGACAGTTACCAGAGGACACACAGCTCAAAGCCTTAGGAAGAACTGGCTGAAAGCAGCTGCCAGGTATGGCTATGACCTTTTTCAGGGTCCCAGCTGGACAGAGCCTTGAGGTCAAGGGCAGGACTTTTACAGTATAATTCAATGTTTTGTTTCCGTGCCTCGCCCCCCAAGGAGGGGCTCCCAGAACCCCAGCCTCCTGGTTGCTGGGGTGACAGGTGCTAGCCATCATTCCTGTCACTGGTTCGATGATTTTTTTTAAAGTGCATTTTTTTTTCTTTTTTTTTTTTTGGTTTTTCGAGACAGGGTTTTCTCTGTGTAGCTTTGCGCCTTTCCTGGAACTCACTTGGTAGTCCAGGCTGGCCTCGAACTCACAGAGATCCGCCTGGCTCTGCCTCCCGAGTGCTGGGATTAAAGGCGTGCGCCACCACCGCCCGGCTTAAAGTGCATTTTTAGAACCATGTAAGCACCATCCTGCCTGGGGGCAGGTTTCCCAGGGTGTTATGCCTCTTCTACTATACTGGCTCTAAGAGCCTTCTAGCCAAGCGGTGGCGGCGCATGCCTTTAATATCCCAGCACTCGGGAAGCAGAGACAGGAGGATCTCTGTGAGTTCGAGGCCAGCCTGGTCTACAAAGTGAGTTCCAGGACCTTCTAGACCTATCCTGCCTGTGTAAGGAAGAAGGCCTCCTTCACTAACCCCAGGGCTCTGGCCAAGCAGAATTCAGCATGGCTCAGTTGGGCTAGCTCTACAGAGTCCACACAATGGCTTAGGACCCCTTCTACCTACCTGGGGTACAGAGGGGAGCAATGCTGATGAGCAGTATAAGGAGGTCAGATGGACAGACAGACGATGTTGGCAGGGAGCCCAGACCACAAATTCCAATGACTGAACGAAGCTGACCTACTGATACCAAGGAGGGGGTTCTGTCTCTGAGTCCCATAATTCAGTCTGGGAAGTTTCCAGAGGTTGGGAGCCCTCTTGGGCCCAAGAGACACACAAAGTGCAGCGACAGCCTGAGGTCAGGGCGCACCCCCAATATGGAGGGACAGACCCTGTACAATCATTGCAACCACCCAAGCACCTAGCAATGGCTGGGGGTGAGACATGCCCTTGACACCACTGGGGGATCTCCAAGACAGTCCCCCCCCAAAAAAAAGGACGGGGGGGTGTGGTGGTGCAGGCCTTTAATCCCAGCACTTGAGTGACAGAGGCAGGTGGATCTCTAGGAATTTGGGGCCAGCCTGGTCTATATGGAGCTGCAGGACAGCCAAGGCTACAAGGAGAGACCCTGTCGTCCCCCCCCCAAACAACAAAACCACCCTGGGACTGTGGCAGTCATACTTGTGAGTCCACACTCTCTAACTTGAACCTTCTGCTTCAGATACACAAATCTTTGAACCAAAAAGCAACACGGGCCTCTGTTCTTCCCCACAGAATTTCCTAAACTGTCCCTGAGTATCTTCTTAGACTGGCACACTTGAGGCCCTGGCCAGAGGCGTGCTTTCACCTGGGTTCCAGGCAGTGAGATGCAGGGCCTGCCGCTCTGTCAAAGACTCCCTCTCTCCGACACCTCCCCTGAGCTAGGTTCTTTCCCAAAGGCAGCAAAGCCCCAGGAATGCCCTCCTAATTTTGTGACCTCAGCACATGACCTTTGAGCCCTTTTCTGTCATATGGGACCCTGTGGATACAGCTAACAGGGGCATAGCCCATATACTCCTCATAGACACCCTCTGAGGATGTCCTGTATTGCCCTACTCAGAGCAGGCAAAATGGTCAGCTGGCTAGGATGGACAAATGATACTGTCCCCTGGGGTGTCCCTGGGTCTTGAACTAAATGCTTCCCAGAGTGCTGCCTGCTGTCTTAAGCAGACACCCACCGGAGACTGTAGCCCACATCCCTGCCTAGCCCCTCTATCCTGATGGGTCTCGTCACAGGATAGGATGGGAAAGCTAGCTCAGAGACACCAGAGTCAAGGAGCTAGAGTGGGGCAAACTGTGTCAACAGAGGTAAAGGTATGCACTGGAGTCTTAAAAGTCTGAGTTGTGGCTCTGACTTGGTCTTCCCTCACCATGACCTTTGAAATAGCCCTTCCCCTACATCGAGCATCAGTAAAAATAGGAAATATAGCCGGGCGGTGGTGGCGCACGCCTTTAATCCCAGCACTCGGGAGGCCGAAGCAGGCAGATCTCTGTGAGTTCGAGGCCAGTCTGGGCTACAGAGTGAGTTCCAGGAAAAAGCACCAAAGCTACACAGAGAAACCCTGTCGGGGGGGGGGGGGGATATTGTTTAAAGCCCCCCCCCAGATTATTATATTTTGTATGCATGTTATGAGTAGCTACATATAAATGTATGCACTAAGTACATCTCTGGTGACCAAGGAGACCAGAAGATGGTGTCAGCAGAACCCCTGGAAGAGGAGTCACAACATGTTCTGAGCTGCCAAGGAGGTGCTGGGATCCAAACCCCAGTCCTCTGTAAGAGCAGCTAGCAGTCTTAACCACTGAGCCATCCATCTCTCCAGCCCTGGAGAAGAAGGTTCTTGATCATCACTCTAGACTGCAGGACCCATTCTCCTGGGCGTGAAGGAGAAGAAGACAGTTCGGAAGACTCCCCACCCAGCTCCCCACGGAGGGTAGTGACCTAGTGGCTGGACAGGAGCCAGAGCTAGTCACAGGACTTGCAGGTAGGAAAGGTTCTGAGCAAGCCACAAGCAAATCTGGCTTACGGGGGGCAAGGAGACACATGGTGCCCTCTAGCTCTGGGACATGACAGCAAGTCAGGCACTGGGCTAAGCATTTTTCTTGTACTTTGTTTTTGCTGTTGCTGTTCTGAGACAGGGTCTCTCCTCTAGCTAAAGAGATCTGCCCGCCTCTGCTTCCCAAGTACTGGGATAAAAGGCATGAGCCACCACACCCAGCCTTTGTAGTTTATTACTGGAGTCTCACGACACGCTTTTAGCTAAACGATGTGAAATCATCAGCCTAGGGTCACAAGGTCAGGAGGTGGCAGAGTCAGGGTTTGAACCTGGTGGTGACTCCAGGGCTTGGCTTTCCAACATTGGCTGAGGGCTCCAAGGCACATGGAGACTTGGAAGAGAAAGCTCAGTTTCCCCAAGAGTCTTTCTGGTGGTTTTCAGGCTCTAGGCACATCCAGCAGACTACTGCCAGAGAGTCTCCAACTATACCCCAAGCCCAGGCAAAGACCAGGTAGGAAGGGGCTACGGGTAGGCCGGCCGGGCCTGGCTGGGCAAGAGCTCCGGCATTCCGGCGGCCTCCGCAGGAAGCAGAGCGGGACGGAAACCGGCTCTTGCTGCCTCCCCCAGAATCCTGTGGGCAGCCCAGTCAGGCTGCACAGAGGCCTTCTTTGTGCCGGGCCCCAACCCGCCACCCGGCTGGCCCAGGGTTTTGAGTTTCCTGGGGGGGGGGGGGGGTTGTCCAGCCACCACTAAGCCTCCAGCTTCTCCCCCTCCCAGGGACAACCACAGCAGTTCACAGCTGGAGGAGGAAGTGAGTGGATGGCTGTGGCTACCCCAGAAACTCTAGGGGATCTGGAACAGGCCCACATCCCATCACACCCCACACCCCCATATTTACATACCCTACACCAGAAGCTGTGGCACCTAAGCAGTCACATTCCCCACCCTCCTGCTGGAAGCCTGTCATGACCCACCTGGAACCACCCCCACCCGACTCCACCAGGGTGCTCTTGGGCCAGGTGGATGGGACCGTGTATCTGCCAAACCACCTTTTCCCACACTCCAGACACACAGGGCACACCAAGCAGAGGCCTCTTCCCAACATTTCAGGGGTCAAAAGTCCCTTGGGTAGATAATTAAGAACAGAGAGTACCTGGGAGGGCGTGCGACGTAGAATGTGTATCCTGAGGAGCAGGGACTATGTGTTACCAGGGGAAGTATGTCAGACATTTATGCTGCGAGCCTGTTGTCTGGTGGGCTGTGGGGTGTGCCCAGGTGCAGATGAAATCCAAGGGCCAACCTTTGTGGACTGGAGCACTACTGTACACATGGTTATACACCAACACAGGTGGAGGTGCCTGGACTGTAAGCTCCCGGTGTGCAAGGCGGAGGGGCGTGCTTTCTACACCTCAGAACACACAGCCACGAGAGTTGTGTGCAAGCAGAGCATTAACTGTGGTGGGTGGGCGTCTGCAGGTTCATCAGGTCTGTGTGTTAACCCGTCTTAGCTGTGAGACAGCGGTGTGTGCCCTCTGTGCCTTGGCGGAGCCTGAGTGGGATGGGGATGGTGCAGGTGGGAACTGGCGCCAACTGCTAGGGCCCCTATGGAAACAGAAGCTGCCCACAGGTGTGCCTGGTGTGAAATGGGGGCTGGGTTGCACCCAGGTTCAGTCTGTCCCTCTGAGAAACCAATTCACTGTTTTAACTGAGAAGCCCAGCCACGAGGGAGGCACCTGTCTGCTGTTCAAGGTCCAACAGCTCTGGTCAGCATCTAGCCACCTGCCTGCCTGCCTTCTGGCTTGAGCTTGGCAAAAAAACTGGAAAACAAGAGCCCCCAGACCGCAGGCAGGCCCTCCCTGCAGAGGCGTGGGGGAGGCAGGCAAGAGGCAGGAGACTGAAGCGGAGGGAGGGAAGGAGGGAGGTGTCGCCGCAACCCCGGAACACAAAAAATAATGAGGCGAGAGGGGCCATGGGGCCAAGCTGGCTGGTTCCGGAGTCGCTATCTGACCTTGACAGATGCCACAGCTGGGCGCCTGGAGAGGAGCCGCAGCCACCCGCTGCCACCGCGCTGCAGCCTGCCCCCCAACTCCCCCAGGCCAGGGTCGATTGCGGCTCTTACAGGCCAGCCACAGGCAGCCACCCACTAGGGAAAGGAAGGGAGAGAGCTTTGGGTCTGGAGGTGACTGGGGGTGTGGGGGGGAAAATCCAGCCACGGGGTCTCCTGAGGGTACCCCAGCCCCCAGGTGTGGCTCAGTGTGCGCGGCATGGAGCTCGCCATTGTGCGGCGGCTTAGCTGTGTGTCTGAGTGTGCGTGGAAGTGGAGCAGAGTATGCGTGTAGGTGTGACAGGGACAAAGGTAGTGCTTGTGTGCTTATGTCCCTTGGGGTCACACACGACAGGCAGGATGGGCTAGCGTCCCTGCCGTTGATGTGGGCACATTCTTGGGGATGGGCCCTGATCACTCCCCTAGCCTCTTCCAGAGACACAGCTGCCCTGGCCAGCGCACGCGAGGTTGGGACTAGGGCTGGGGTGGGAGACAAAGAGAGCTGCATCCCCAAGCCCGGCTCTTGCAAACGGAGGAAAGGCACCCCCGCGGCTCTCTGGCCCACTCTCCCCCACTGGACCGGTTGTGTCCCTCGGCAGGCGGCAATGGGTATAGAGTTGGGTACTGCCCCTCGGGGGTTGGCAGCAAGGGGCTGGGGTGTAAGCTGCAGCAGGGGACGCTGGGCTAGAGGTGGATTAGCAATTCCGAGCACTGGCTGCATAATTAAAAAATCATTACGGCAGGCAGGCGGGCAGAGCTGAGTGTGAGCTCACGCTTGGAGCAGGCGGGGACACAGCCACAGCGCTCCCCCTCAAAGTGCTTCCCCGAGGAAAAATCCCACCTGCTAATATAATTATGGAAAAACACAAGCACGGAAATTCTGTTTCAGCAAACAGTGTGCCTGAGTGCCCAGGGCCTGCATGGCCCCCAGCACAGCGAGCAGGACTTAAGGCTGGTACTTCTGGTTCACTGCAGTGAGGCAGGTCCTGCTGGGGTCCAGACTCTGACCTCCACCTGCTGGCATCCCCAAACCCAAGATTCTGCAGAAGGTCACTGCTGTCAGTCGCGGCAAGGCTGACAGGCACTGGGTGGTCCTACTCACCCACGCAACACCCCAGAAGCTCAACAGCCGGCCACTCCCCTGTCCCCAGCTTGCCCTTCATCCGTTTCTGCCCAGCCCCTCTGGTTGGCTGTGTGGACCCTCAGGCTCCAGGACACAGGGCAACCCCTGGGCTCGTCTGGGTTTAAGCCAGGCGGGCGGCCATTCCGCCTGGGAAAGGCGGCCAGCTTTGGGGCACATGCCCCAGAAGGGCAGGCTGAGCCGCCATCACCTCGGGCCTGGAGCGGGCAGCGCAGGAGGGAGCCGGGCCTAATTAGTCGGCCTGGGAGGACGGGGCGGGCGCCAGGCGGCTGCCCAGAGCAGCGCAGGCACGTCCGCGAGCGGCCAGGAGGTGGTGGCGCCCGGAGACGCCTGGAAAGGAGGGCTGGGGCCAAGGAGATTCCACCGCGAGCACAACCGCCGCCCCTCACTCCTCCATGCCACCAGGCGCGGCAATTAGAGGCTTTCAAAGTTTGTCCTTAATTGGTTTCATTTTTGCCTCATAAATGATTCATGGCCCCAGAGGTCTGGGAGGCGGAGGGAGTGGCAGGGGAAATTTGGGGAGGCTTTCGCCTGAGGCCAGTCCCTCTACCTGAGGCCGGGAGAGAACTCCGAAATCCAATACAGTGGGAGACGGGCTGGGGAAGCGTTTGACGGGTGGGACCCTGTAGCAAAAATGAAGTACCCAGGCCCTCTCTTTGGAGCACTAATTAGGAGCTGCAACGTCTCTTCTGTGGACGAGGCTAAGGCCAGGCAGAGCCACAGCAGCTGCCGGGGCCCAGGAAGCATGAATAACGCCAAGATAACAACCTAACAGCATCCATGGTAATAGCCATGAACACTTAAGAACACTTTAACTGGGAACAGGCAGAGGGTCTTTTAACCACTCCCTGCCCCAGCACCAGAGGGTGGCGTACTAAAGATCCCTGCTTTCGAAGAAACTGAAGCCCAGCAAGATGAAGACCGGCCCCCTCTGAGCCCCTCTCTGCCTCCTGCCAGAACCCCTCACTCCCAAGCTCTCCGGGCTCAGTGACCTTGTCCTCAGGGGGCCCTGGCACACCTGTAAAACGGGAAGAGAGAAGCCCAAAGTCCCTATGGAGTGGCACCCTGTGCTGGGCCCTAGGATACCGAAAGAGGTTACGGACACCCTTTGGGAGCTCCTGGTCTCAGGGACACATGGAGACATTTCCGTTTATACAGAGAACTTCTGAACAGATTCTATAAGCTAACATGGTGGGGTGGGAACAGGTCTTGGAGCAAGTGGGGACCTCTTCCCCTCTGGCTAGCCCACAGGATGCTCAGGGAGGGGGTGTGGCCCATTCAACCCAAGCCTGGGATCAGATCTCTAAGAAACTTAGAACTACAAATTACACCAGACTGACATGAGACTCAAATTACTACTAAATAAACTGTTAAAAAAAAATTTCCCCCTTTCTTCTGAAATAGGGTCTCATAACATCTTAGAACTCACTATGCAGACCAGGCTGGCCTCGAACTCAAGAGATCAACCTGCCTCTGCCTCCCCAGTGCTGGGATTAAAGCACCATGCCTGGCTTTTTTTGTTTATTTATTTTATTTTTTTTCTGGAGATAGGATTTCTTCTCTGTGTAACAGTCCTGACTGTCCTGGAACTTGCTTCGTAGACCAGGCTGGCCTCAAACTCACTCAGATCCACTTGCCTCTGCCTTTCAAGTGCTGGGATTAAAGGTGTGCGCTAGCACTGCCCTGCTGTTAAAGTTTTTAAAGATTGTGTGTGCATGTGTACACACGCTTGTGCACTCATGCCCATGTGTGTGCGTATCAGTGCCCTTGGAGGCCAGAGGCTTTGGAACTGGAGTTACCGGTAGTTGTTAGCCAACTGATGTGGGGCCCTGAGAATCGAACCCAGGTCCTCTGAAATTCAGTGAATGCTCCTAACCACTGAGCCATCTCTCCACACTAAATTCACTGTGGGCCCCGAGAAATTCTAGAAAAGCAGCAGCACACAATGGGCTAACTGCCCCTAAGGTTTAGGACTGCAGGCTAGTTGCTTGGTCTTGGATCCTTCACAGATACCATCTCCTCATGCACCATGTATACCAGATTCTCCTCCAAAATGCTGCCCGGGCAGCAGAGCCCTGGAGGACTCCCCAACCTCCCACTTAGCCTGCCTCCATGAGGCAGAGAAAACACTTCGGGCTGATTATACCTGCCTAGACCCTACCACAGCCTTCAGAATATGTAACTACCTACTCTTCCCAGATGAAGGAAGTGAGGCTCAGGGCAAGAAACAAGGGACTTGCCCAAGACTTGGGGTACCTAGGTTTAGCAGCCTAGGGAGCCCATGTCCCTTACCCTAGTAATGGGGTGAGGCAAGGAGTATCCTCAACTTCTCTCATGCCTAGAAACTTTCTGCCCCAGCCCTGATCATTCTCAAGGCAAGGAGTGCCCACACTTCCTCAGAAACTAGAACTTAGGCCAACTGAAGCATGTGGGCAATGGCCTCACAGGAGACCCGAAGGTGTAGGCAAACTTCTACGATCATGGCATGCCTAAGGCTGCTGGCCTCCTGTCTCATTCCAGCTAGTAGATGGGATGGTAGGAGACAAGTAAAATGGCACCAGGGTGACAGGCTGAACTGCTCACCCTCACTTAGGACAGTGGGTGCTTGGGGATCCCCCTTGCTGAGGCATTCATTCATTCCTTGGGAGGAAGACTAAGCTATTCTCTACATCTTGCTGGGTTGTTTGATGATACAGTCATGTCCCTCTTGGAGGAAGTGGACACTCATGGCACTGAGATCCGTGTACTACAGAAGCCGACAAGGGCCACAAACACACAGGCAAGTGGGCCAGTTCTTAGGATACGGAGTCATCCTCAGTAGACCTAGTACCCACCGTGGACCAGGACACAAGCACCCTTTGCTCCTGTCCATCCACCTGTCACAGGGCTGTCTAGTGGGGTCATGGGGGTCCCTTTTCCCAGCTTGTCCAGCAAGCTGCATGGCTCCAGTGGGTCAGTACTGACGTCAGCAAGGCCAGCCGGGTGTGGAGCCTGCCACCTCCGGAACCACCAATTAATTAACTTTTTTCAAATTAATTTCCCAAGCAAAATTCCATAATTACATCTGTCTCCATCAGCCTCCTAGCTGGTAAAGGAAGAGGATGACCCCACGTTGAGGAAGAACATTGGATGAGGGATGACCATGACAACATGGAGCCAGGTTGAAAAGGACACAGGGGTTGGTTTCATTAGGACAGGGAGTTTGCCTGGTGTCCTTAGGGAAGGAACTAAGGCCAGAGTCCCTCAGCCCAAAAGTGAAGGGTTCTCAGAGACCTGTGTCCTGATAAGTTCACCTAAGCTGCCGCCAACCCCCACCTCGGTACCCCAAACACAGCAGGTCTTGGCCCAGTAGCAGCACAGGCTCCATGAGGCTGAGAACGCGGCTGCGGTCTAATTTCCCAAAGGGGCTGAGATTAATTAGCTCACACACAGGCGCAGAGAGGGGGAGAGGAGGAGAGTGGGAGCTGGGGCGGGTGGCGTCAGGCGAAGAAGGAGCTGGCTGGCGCTCCCTGCCACCCGACCGGCCGGCAGGCAGGCAGTCAGGCGGCCTTGACAGCCTGGGTGCTCTGAAGGTCAGTGGCCAAGCCGGCTGAGCCAGCAGACTGGCACCATCTCCTTCCCAGAATGCTCAAGATCAAGGCTGGAGGGATAGGAACCAGGAGGGCAGGGCTGGGGGAGGGAGCTCACTGTTACCGTCTCTCAGAGTCTCAGCGAGGTACCCTGTCCACACACACACACACACACACACACACACACATCGTGTTCATCTTCACAGCAGCCCCCAGACAAGGGCAACATGGTTCTCCCACTTCACAGGTAGGGATGCTGCAGCTCAGACAAGGACAGTGGCCGAGGTCACTCCAGCCTGGGCAGCAAAGGGAGGCTTTTATAAATACTGGTTGGCCCCGCTCTAGAGGCCACCCTGCTGCCCCAGGTCTCCGTGACAGCACGAGGACAACAGCGCCTCTGGAAACTGAATGCTCAGCGCACGGCATCTGAGAGGGTCTTCTGCTTTCAAAATGGGCAGAAGGAGTCAGCCATTTCAGAGAGGAACACTGACCAAAAGGAGGAAGTGATCTGAGGTGGAGACCACATTGGCCTAACTTGGAGAAGCTTTAGGGAGCCCCCAATGGCCACGTGGAGCCTGGGGCTCTGTTTGGTTAAGTGGTAAACCAACCAGAGGATGGGGAACAGGGTCATGCTTTCATGACTGCCCCTGTGTACCCCAAAGGAAATGTCTGCTTAAAGGACCTCGCAACTACTCTCTGAAGTCTCCCAGAAAAAGGGGAAAAAGGACCCCCAGGAAGGCAGAAGCGGGAGAGGTTAGAGACCCCCAGCAAGTGCCTAGGTGGTTCAAGCCTAGTGCGGAAATTTCTCAGAAATTGTCAGCAGGGACGTTCCCATGGGTGCTCACCCTCCTTCGGCCCGAAGGGTCAGCAGCCTCAACAGCCAACATTACGCATTACCGGTGATTCTAGAGGGGGGGAAGTGTACCCCCTCTTGGAAGCACAAGTTCAGGTGGCTAGAGGGCTTTGGAGTCAGGACTCCTGACCCTGCTCCGCCTAGATCTAGTCTAGGGGCTCCCAGAGAAGCTGCTGAAGCTTGTTGAGCTCAAGCCCCGGTCTGGAACAGAGGCCAGCCCCAACCCGCTGGGTCCTGCAGACCACATACCTGAAGCTCTTGCTATGGGGCCGGCCTGTTATTTTTACAGTCATCACCTGCTCCTCGGGCCATGGGTATTGAATGACCAAGGCCCTAGTTTTCCTGGGAGCTGCCAATTCCCTCACACCTATCTTCTGCTCCCCCTACCCCACCCCACCCCACCCCACCCCACCCCAGCCCCTTATACCACAGTTCCTGCCCTCTACCTGCAGACCCCAGGAGATAAGCACGTGGCTGGGTCTGAAAGTTACCAGGAGGGAGGGGCAGCTGGCTGGGCCCTCGCCCCTTCTGACCACAGAAAGAGCCCACCTACACTGAGGGTCACCCTTTCCACGCCCACCTTAGTTAGGTTGGCACGTCTACGTCAGTAGTTGTGGAACTGTGGCTGGCTCTTTCCGTTTCCTTCCAGGATATGAGGCCTCCAGGGAGTGTTACCTGAGGCCTCAGGCTCCGCTACTCTGAACCCAACCAATCAACAACCCTCACATCCGCACCTCCTGCCACTCAGCTGAGCTGCTTCACCTCTGCATTCATCTGAGAAGAGCTCCAGACAGGGCCCTGTCCAAGACAATCTAATTAAGGATGCTTCTTGAGGTGTGCAACCACCAGAAAAACCCCAGCTTTGGTAGGGCAGACAGGGGCTCACTATCAGCCCCAGCATAGCTCAATGGGACCAAACCCAGAGCCCCACCCTTAGGTCCCATCACTTACTAAGTACTATACGATAGCTTTAATACAGAGATGGGGCTTAGTCTATGCTATAAATGACAAAAAAAACGAAGCCAGAGAACTTGGCAGGCTAGATGTGGTGGTGCACGCCTTTAATCCCAGCACTTGGGAGGCAGATAGGCAGATCTCTGGGTTTGGGGACAGCCTGGTCTACAGACTGAGTTCAAGACCAGCCAGGGCTACATGTATTGTGAGATAATCTTGTCTCAACAAAACCAAAACAAAGCTTGGACACGGTACAGCAACCTAGTAGCCAAAAATCCAAGTCTCCAGCTTAGGGAGAAACCCAGTTCTCTAAGTGGCCATTGCTGCTGATTCTTCTCAGGCTTTCTGGGACCTTCTCCTTCCCCCAACCATCCTATGTAGGGGACAGCAGGAGGTGGGCGCTGGCTGTGCCCCAAATGACCTGTAGTGGAAGTGATGGGCAGCAGTTGTTAATGCCCCTCACCATTACAAGGCCATGCCCACCCGGCTCAATTCTCTCACTTCTTGTATGGAAAATGGTTATGTCTCGAGTTCTATGTGGGAGGGAAGACAAGCCCCAGCCCCAGCGGAGCTAAGGCTTAGACACCACTGCAGGCAGACCGCCAACCTCACAGCCCAGGCCCTCTTGTCAGGCCAGCGCCATGCAGACTAAGAGGTGTGGCTAAACCCCAAGCCCCAGGGTGCCAGCTGGAGGGGCACTGTGTAAAGAGGGTCTTGGGAACCAAGGGGACAGAGTAAAGTGGATGCCAGGAGAGCAGGACAGGCTCCTTGGACACAGCTCCCTGTGCCAGGAGAGGTGTCCTTCCTCCCCCAGCTCCCGGGATGGTCCCATCTCTCACAGACCCCACCTTCAATGGGGAAGAGAGCTGGTCACTCAGGGCTCCTGGGAAAATGGATTGTCCGAAGCATTCCTTCTCCATCCTTTCCTCCTCTTAGCTCTTCTGCCTCTCTTCCTTCCCTTCCTCTCCTGGTATACTCCACTTGAGCTATAGCTCCCTTCGATGAGGGCAACTGCCCCCCCCATGGGACCACAGTACCTAAGGATGGGGAAAGTACTCTTCCACCCCCCACCTCACAGAATCCAAAGACATGACCAGGGGAGCCTCTTATGTGTAAGTCCACAGGGATGAGGAGAGTCTGCTGACAGGAGGCTTGTGTATATATGCAAGAGCATGCAACAGGCACTGTTCTCCATGCTCCTGGCCTAAGCCTGCAGCCTCATAAAGGTGTGAGCCATGGCCTACAGACCACTGCCTGAACCCGGACAGGATGGGGAGATATACAAGGCCCGTGAGGGCAAGTGTGGCTTCCTACCTACACCTGACTCGGACTGTGCATGTCTGCTTGCCAAATCGGTGCCAGCAGGTATGTGCACCAGGACTGGGTATTTCTGAGGTCCCCACACATAGGTAACTAAGTCTGGAGCATAAGCGGTGGTTGGTCATGCAGAGGCATGTGGAATTAGGTGTGCCGAAGCTGTGTATCTCCTCTGTATCCCCGCTGTTGTGTGGGGGGCTGCACTGAGTGTGTGCTCGGCCTGCTGCGAGGGATGGGGTGACTCACGTCTCCCAAGCTAATCTCGCCACCCGCCCGCCCGCCCAGCTCACCCTGCTCGGCTGGGCTCATGGCCGCCAGCACAAGAGGTGGGGAGGAGGCGCGGGCAGGCGGCGCGGCGGGGAGGCTGGCTTGATAAATAACCTGCTGCTTCCCCAGGCCTCTGTGAAGGGGAGGCTGCATCAGCAGAGGCGCAGGAGAGGGAGGCAGGAGAGGCGTCCTTAGCCCCCAGGCTCTGACTGCCCTGGCCCCCACGGTCGGTCCAGTCTCCGGCTGCGGTTCCTGTTTCATAGAAACCTGATCTGGGAAAGCCTATCGGGTCATCTTGCCTGGCCTGGCCGGGTCGCCAGGCCCAGGCAAGCTGCCCCTCAGGGAACAAGCCCACAGCCTGGCTGCCCAAGCAGTGGGTGGGTGGGTGGGTGGGTGGTAGGATATTTCTGTCCAGACTAAATGCAGCTTCAGGCCTCTGTGCACCAACAGCTGCTCCCAGAGGCCCCAGCTACGCAGTGATGACTAAATTTAGCCCCACCCCCCAAAGCTCACCTCTTCTCATTGGCTCCACCCACATGAGGACAGAGGGAAGGATGGATGGGTAGTCAGTCACCTTGGGCCAGTGAACGCCTCTCTCTGGGTCTTAGTTGTGAACAACAACAACAACAACAAAAAATCATGTATTACTCAGCTCTGGGCTCTGTCCTGCCTAGCAGGATTTATTGAGGATACTTCATAAAAGCAACTAAGTTGGGGTCTTGGCGCAGTGGTTACAAAGCCTGAGAGGTTTCTTCCCCATAATATAAACTTGAAGCTTATAAACACCGCTCCCTCCACTCTGCCTTTTCCTTGCTCAGACTGGGCAACACCAATCTCCTCCAATCTACCCAACCGGACACTGGCCAGGGGACAAGTTGTGCCAGGCTGGTGTGTGTGCGTGTATGTGTGTCTGTGTATATGTGTGACAGCTGCTATTTCCTGGAGGCGACAGTCGGGCACAACCCGAATTCCTGTCTGGATCCTAACTTCGGCAGGAGAGCCTCTCCCAGCTTGGGCCCTGGATAGGATCAGTACATCTCCAAAACCACACGGCTCTGGTATTGGGGGGGTGGCGGGGGGTCAGTCATCTCCACAGGGTTCAGCAGGCCGGGAGGCAACCACAGTTCCCCTCCTCTGCCCACCCGCTGCTTCCCCCAGCCCCACATGCACTGAATTCCCCACGTGCCTGTCTGTCTCTGACAGCTCGTGCAAAATACTTGGCTGAGCAGGCGCCCGCTGTTCTGAGGCCGCTGTGCCTCCTCCCTGTCTTCCCAGGGGGTTCTGCAGACACAGCCAGGGATGGGAAGAGACTAGAGCCTAGAGCTTGGTGGACGGGTGGGGGAAAGAAAGGGCAGGAGAGACCAGTTTCAGCTCTCCCAACATTATCCCCAGTCCCTGGCCCTGGGCACGGGAGCCAGGGGAGGCGACTTCAAGCAAGCCAGGCTGTCTGGGTGGCAGCTGACTACAACCCTACTGCCCCCCCAACATCCCAGGAGGCCCTTCCAGGGGTTTCCCATTCTCCTGGGCCAATGAAAGAGCACCTGCCAGCTCCCCCCCGCCCCCCAGGTAGTAGCTCAGGACATAGCTGGGGGCGTCAGAAGAGGCTCTGAAACCTGGATGAGGGCCCGAGCCCTATTGGCAGTCATAGCCCCCTCTACAGAGCATGAGGGGGTGCGTTCCAGCTCTCCTGCAGTGAGAGGCACACCCACCCAGCTGCCAGGCTGGGATGACTCCACGTAGACCTGAGGGGGGCCCGAGGGAGGCCAAGTCTGCCCCCTACTGCCTCCCATCCAGCTCTTCCTAGGAGAGCAGCTGGGATTTTCCCCTGGCCACAGCCTAGCTGCCAAGCTCCTTCCACTCACCTCTGTGGCCCAGTCACCCCCTCCCCCATTTCTGCTGCCAAGGATCCCCCTTCTCCCCGGGAGATGGGCCACTTGACTCCGAGTCCCCAAGCACCCATCACATATCCAGTGGAGATGTTGATTTGGCCCTGGCGGGATAACATGCTCCATTTCACAGATGGACATACCAAAATCAGGAGGGACCGCCCCCCCCCCACACACGGGCAGGGGCAGGGGCAGGGGCAGGGGCAGGCTTCCCATCCAATCTCATCCTGAAAGAAACGGATTCAATTCCCTCTCTTATCTACCCACCCCATTAACCTACATTTTTCTGCTCAGGAACCCAGTCACCCCTTTCCCAGGCTGCCGGGGAGATCAGAGTAACTCGGCGGGAAGCTCTGGTGCTGGAAGGCCTTCTGGATTACGCTGTCACACTCTCCACAGCCTCGCAGTGGTCTTGGGAAGTCTCCTAGCCTTGCTGTGGCAGTGAACCGCACTGTGGGACAAAGTCTCTTCTCCCCATTGCACAGATGGAGTTGCCGAGGACCCCATGGGAGGGGAGCTGCAGGCAGCCATGAGTCAGAGGGGGAGCTGGGAAGCCGCCCGGCCCTGCCTGCTGTCGCTGGAAGCAACAGCCTGCATTTCCTCCTCACGCTGGTGCCTCGGGAAGCGTGGGCAGCAGGCGGCAGGCTGCCACAGGGAGGACCCCTCCTGTGCCCACAGGCCAGCCACGGCCCCTTGCCGCCTGGCTGGGCCTAGAGCCCACAGGCTACATGCAGAACTGGCCTTTCGGTCCCAGGAAGAGGCTCATGTCGCTTGAGGTCTCCTCCAGGCCCTGTGACCTCAGGAAAGCCCCCAGCCCCAGCCCCACACCCCAGAGTCCTCTATCATCGAACAAGGAGATTGAAGCATGGCCGTTCATGCTTCCTTCCCGCAGGAAAACTCACTCCTCGGTGATTACAGAATCCCAACCTGACA